GGGCCCGCGCAGGACCGGGGGCCGGGGGCTGCCTCTCCTGCAGGGTCTGTGGCATCATCATCCCTTGGAACTACCCCCTGATGATGCTGTCCTGGAAGACGGCCGCCTGCCTGGCCGCCGGGAACACGGTGGTGATCAAGCCCGCGCAGGTCAGTGCCCTGGGCCAGGACTCGCTCCGTCAGTAGGGCTGGGGCCCTCCTGCACTGGCGGCCGAGGAAGGGCGCCATGCGGCAGGCTGCCCCGGGCCGCTCATGGGTGGAGAGGTATGAGTGGTCAGAGCTGGCCACAGCAGACGGGGCGTGCTCTCAGTATGGTGGCTAAGATGGGCCGGGTTGGGCCGGTCCTTGGCGCTGCTCGGGGAGCAGGGCAGGGTTTTGCACAGACCCCGATGGGAGCCCGGAGCAGGAACTGTGCTTGGGTGCCCTGCCCAGCCCCATGCTCCAAGGCGGCCCCTGCTGCTAGCAGAGGGTGCCGCGCTCTCATGGCTTCAGAGAGTTCCTGGCGGGAAGCCGGTGCTGGGGGGGTGTTGGGGGCCGCCCAGCCCAGCCCCTCCGGCAGCAGCTACCTGATGTGGCCTCTGCTGGGGAAGTACAGGCGGGATGTCAGCGGTTGGGGCAGGCCGGGCAGGCCCTCACAGTCGTCACCCCCACTCCGCCAGCCTGCTTGTGGGCAATAACCAGCCCCACCCTCTCCCGCCTGGCCCCTGGGGGTGAGGCACTGGAGGCTCCGCCCCGTGGCGTGGACACCTGCCTGAGGCCTCTTCTGCTTCGGCTTCTCGGGGGCAGTGTGGCCTGGGTGTGGGCACAGCCCTGGCTCTGCTGCTGTAAGGGAACCCCGACTGGTAACTTATAATAAGGGGACCCCGACTGGTAACTTATAAGCAGTGGACGTTTACTTGGCTCGTGGTTCTGTGGTTCTGGAAACCGGGGAGTCTGACAGCGTGGTGGCAGCATCTGGTGAGGGGCATCCCATGCCAAAGGGGAGGGGTTGGGAGCTCACACGGGCAGCAGGGGGCCGGGCTTGGGTCTGAACAGACGCTGGGAGGGGGTCTCGCTGGGCACTGGTGCCCCTGACCCCAGCAGGCGGGGCAGAGGCAGCACCCACCTCACAAGAAGACCGTATCCCCACTGTAAGTGGGCAGTCCCAGGGAAGGAGGCCGGTCGGCACCCCGGAAGGTGTTAGTGGGAGCCTTCCGAGAATGGGCCCTGCTGGGTGCTGTTGGACTCTGCTCCTCGAAGGCTGGTAGGAAGGGGCTCCACTGGCCGCGGGGCAGGGGCACTGCTGGGAGCAGAAGCTGGCACCACGGAGGTCCACAGGCCTGTTCCCAGAGGGAGCTGTGGGGGAAGCGGCCTGGTTGCAGTGCCCCAGTGGTCGGCCATGAGTGTGGCTTCCCTGGGTCTTCCTGGCACTGCAGCCCATCCCTGCTCTCGCAGCCTGGAGCTAGGAGGGAAGAAGAAAGCATGGCAGAGCCTCTCCCTGCTGACCCAGCCTTCCCCCCTGCCCACCCTAGGTGACGCCACTCACAGCCTTGAAGTTTGCAGAGCTGACCTTGAAGGCTGGTATTCCCAAGGGTGTGATCAACATCCTCCCAGGATCTGGTAAGGGCGGTGGAGCGACAGGGCTGGGCTCCAGGCAGCTGGAGGTGCCCCTGGCCAGAGTAGGGTGACTTGGGGGAGCCAGGGGGATGGCCAACCTGGAGGAAAGGGGACCCATCCCCAGGGGAGGAGTCTACACCTGGGAGGATTTACCCTTCAAACGTCTCCCCCAGATTTCCCACTTTGGTGTGTGTGTGTGTGTGTGTGTGTGTGTGTACGTGCGTGTGCGTACTCTGGAATGGATTACATAACTTGGGAACGACCTGCCTCGGAAGCTGGAGAGAATTCATCTCCTGAGCATGCTAGGATTTTAGAACATTCTAGAGCGTAGCCTCACTGCTGTCCAGGTCCCTCGCTGTCCTCTTGAAGAGCTCCCCAAGGGCCCATGTGCCGTGGGCCTGCTGGCCCCGTCTGTCGGTTTTGGTGTACCTGGGGATGACCTGGTGTGGGGGCTGGGCCTGCTGAGGGGCCCCTGGCCCCGCAATCCGCAATCCGTGGCCACAGTCCTGGGCGGGGCCGGAGGTGGAGAATGGCTCCCAGCCTCCTGGTTTAGCAAATAGACCAGCAAGGACTGTTTACTGAACTCAGAGCCCCGAGGGGAGGGGCCTGGGCGGTAGGGGTTGAGTTTCAGGGCCCAGGGCTGGCTGGAGATGCATCTGAGGGCCGGGCCTGGGCTGGGCCTGGGCGGGGCGGGCAGGCTGGGCTCGGCTGAGCGAAGGTGGAGGAGGCACCCAGAGCCCAGGCGTGTTAGGAGCGCACAGGGTCCCGGGCAAAGACCAGGCGAGTGCCGCAGGAGGGCTTCTGCCGGGTTGGGGGCCACCTCACAGTCGCCAGCCCTGAAGGCCCGTGGGAGTGGAGGCTTGCAGACCGAGGGTTACGAGGCGGGCCCATGCGGGAAGGTCCTGAGCTCACCAGGCAGTGTGCGCCTGTGGCCCGGGGCTGAGGCTCTAGTGGCTCGTGGATGGAGACCGTGTTGGGGTTCCGTCTGTCTGTCTGTCTGTCTGTCTCACGGAAGAAAAAAAGAAACTCAAAGAGAGGAGGTGAGGGAGAGGGTCAGCCAGACTGCGGCCGGGATGTGCGAGGGCTCAATGTGGAGTGGGAGTCACGGGGTGGGGTCCTGGGGTCAGAGCGTCTCACCAGCAGGCGCGACGGGTACCGAGGCTCCCCGGGGCAGGCCCTGAGTCTGCGATGCTCGGGATGCCTGTCCCCACGGCCCTGGCCAGCATCCGTGGTCTCTGTCGGGTGGCCGGGTGCCCTCGCCCTGGGGCAGGCCTGCTGGCAGCACCCTGGTTCGCGAGGGTACCCAGGACGCGTACCCCAGACTGGGCAGCTTGGACAGCAGGAGCTCACTTCGTGGTGCAGGCCGGAGTCTGAGATCAAGGCCTGTTTACTCTGCGGCCTCTCTGACGGGCAGAGCGTGCCTGTCCGGTGTCCTCGCAGTCGTCCCTGTGTCCCTGTCACAGCTCAGCGACCCCGTTGTAATGTAATCACCTTTTCCCCGGCCCTGTCTCCACGCACAGGCACACGCAGAGGTCCTGGGGTCAGGGCTGCAGCGCTCGTATTCAGGGTGGGACACGGTGTAGCCCTGGTAGCAGGCGCCGCATGCTGGGCACCAGGCCCCGGCACAGGGCACATGTGAGCCCTCCGGTGGGCACCAGGGCCCCATGGTGTGGGCCTCCGCAGCACCGCCCACTCGGCCCGCAGGCTCGCTGGTTGGCCAGAGGCTTTCGGACCACCCCGACGTCAGGAAGATCGGGTTCACGGGCTCCACGGAGGTGGGGAAGCACATCATGAAGAGGTAGGTGCTGGGCATCCACACGTGGCCAGGTGGCTGTGGGCGAGGGCTGTGGCTGCCAGGGGCCACGTCTACTTTCCCACG